ATTCATATTAATGACATATTTGTGGGGTTTTTTTTTTTTCCTCCAATGGCCCATTCTGCCTCTGTTTCAGGCAAACATTTTTGGTTCACAGCAAAGCCCCATTCAGCCAGATATCTGTTCTGGTTGATGCAGCAAGCTTGGTGGCCAGCAGGTCTTCTCTTGAGGAACAGATCTTTCCTCTTGTTTTTATAAAACTACATTTAGTCCAGAATTCTGGAGTTGTGGGGTGGTTTTTGAGTTTTTTTTTTTTTTTTTTTTTAAGAACTCTCAAGAATTATGAATTTTAATGGCGCAATCAAAATTTTCCAAAAGTCCCCCAAACTTCAGGCCGCACTCTTCCCTCTCATCTCTGTCCATCACTTGTCATAACTTTTATATACATTTATATACATTGAGAAATACATGATTTTTACTTTTTTTTTTTTTGCCAGCAAGGTACATTTCCACATTTTGTTGCTGGCTGTGGCTCAGTCAGGATCTCAGCAACACTATTTATACAGTGACATTTTTCAAAGAGCTGCACGCTCTACATAGCTAATGGAAAAAAGGTGGCGYGACCACAGAAAAGGAACTTAATGTTATTCATGGAATACCAAAGGAGAAAATGGAACAGTGGATCACATTAATTCCGGCAAATACTATTATTTTAAACTCATTTAAATTCAAGTCAAACTTATTGAGCATATCATCCCAGAGAGCAACTAACATTTATCTTCTTTGTGCAAGCAGAGCAAACAGGAGCTGGGCGGGTGCTCGCTGTTTGCACAAGGGGCTGCCTCTGAAAAAAAAAAACCCACGGAGAGGGTAGGGGGAGAGCCCACATTAATGTTTTAATTGAAATGATGATTAATTGCGCCACAGAGGGTCTCACAGTTGCTGTCTTTTTGTCTTGTCCTACCACAAACCAGTCGGGGCTACTCCAAAGTGTTTTTCCAGTGGCATATACCCTAAACTCGCACTGTTCCTCCTATTTTTCAGTCTACATCTTTTTTTTTGTGATAATTGAAGATGTAATTACGACAGCTTTGACAATAAATTAGCGTGTTATTGTGCTCCTCTGATCCACATTCCAATTTCCAGYTGAGCAATCCAGAGAGTTAATCTTTTCTGCCCTGCTATTTCTGTCCTAATGTGTGTTTTCACACATTAAAATAATGATTACAAATAACTTCTCAGAGCTGTTTAATGTACTCCACTGAGGTGGGAACAGGCAGGAATATTTTTATAGCAYTGGATATTGTATCCCAGCTCTGATATCACTGATTGGATGAATCCTTTGACCTTGATGTAAGTTTATTTTCTTGATCATGAAAAGGAGAACAACTAATTTCTTTTTCACGGAGACAGCAATTTTTTTTCTTTCCTTCTTTCTCCTTGACAATTCCATTTATTTTTTTTTTAAAATACCCAATGATGTTACTGCACTGAAAACTCAACCACAGTAATGAATTGGAATGTGTAGGTGAACTTTACCTTTAAAGGATAAAAATAGCTTAAATGTGCTAGGCAGTGCAATACTAAGTTCTACTTTCATACTTTCTTCTTCCAGYCCTATTTGTTTATAAACCTCTATATTGTTTAATGTTCAGACAGAAATAAAAATCTCAGGCTAGCAAGAAACAGGAAAAGAGTACCTGATAACACACATAAATATTTTGATTTTTTTTCCCTACCATTTAATTAACACTAAAAAGATCTTAAAGCAATTTTTATAAGTAACTCATACTCTTAATTATTGTAGAGGGTAACGCCTAAAGTGGCCACAATTTAAAGGAAAAATTAATTCAGGTTTCTATTGTATTTATATCAATCTATCATGCAAGGGTTGCTCACAGTAATTCAGAGCTGGGGCTCATCCAATCTTGTATTTCATCTCCCAACATGGATTRACAYCAGATGARCTGGTGTTAACTGAACAAGACTTTRAGTCTCTSTTCTTTGGKTGGGGAAAAAGAAATTCAAATTCCCATTGCTTTCTGAAAAATGAATATGAAAAGGATAAACTGTCAAAATAATTGCTGAACAGAAATTCTAGAATTATTTGATTTGAAAAATAATATATTAATAAAAAAAATCAAAATATTTACCCCATTCAGTGTAACTGAACCCAAGTCCTTCCAGACTCGTCCTTCTGGAACAAGGAGTGTTCCAGATTAAGAAAGAAAGAAAGATCCAAAAACTGAAAATATCCCATATATTAAAACATAAGGACATCTAATGCACATCTGCTCAGACTGAATTCAGAAATGCTTGAAGAGAATATCTAACATAATTTAAATGACAAGCTGCAAGCTCTCTGGAAGCAAAGCAGAGAGGCTTTGAGTTTGTGCCAAAACAGAAATCATGAAGGCCAAAATTATGACAGGAAAATTTGAAAAAAATCAGGGATCAAAAATGATTTTCCTTAAAATTGGCATCTGGCAAGCAAAAAATAACACAGATGTGTTATTTCCCAGAGGTCCTTTAACCATGCCTTGTTTCCTTCATACAATTTTAATGACAGAGGAGCACCACTCACATATTGCTTTTTGCCTGTTTTCAATTGATTTATCTTCTACAAAGTGAAGGTGCCCCAAAGAGAACCCAAAAGGCTATTTTAAAATAAATATTTCATTGGGTACCCAGACTATTACASAGCTGAGTGTGATGAAACACACTGTTACGTTTTTGCACAACTTAATTCTGCAGCTCATGGGCTTTAATGAATCTTACCCATCCCTCTTAATACCATTRAATATCAGTTGTTATATATTCTTATATATAGTAACAATTCTTTCTATAGAATCATTCAGGGCTGGGTATTTCCATGTTAATATCTATGGTGGGAATACTTTTTGGAGAAGTCATTCTGAAATGATAAAATTAAGTGAGGAAAAAAAATCTACCTGAGCTTCTCTGGCTCACCTCTTTGGCAATAAACAGAAAAAAGACTAGGAGGACTTAAACCACTGAATGGGTACAGCACAAAAGATTAAGACCAATGTAAATTTGGGGGATAAATGAAAAAAAAATGGGCAGTTAAATTAATAAATAGGTAAATAAATAAATAGGATTGAATGAGGAAGTGTTGGCAGAGTGCAGTGATCTTCTCAGAAGAGCAAAGGAAAATACACAATCTGGAGTTGTGCCTCTGTGAAATTAAAACACTGTCAAACACCTGGTATTAATGGCAGGAGCCACATCTTTCTCAAGGACAAACTGTTTTTTTTCCACCCAGGCAACCAAAAATATGAATTTTGAACTTGTCTTTATTGAGCAGTGATGAAATTATAGATAATCTAGAAGTAAAAGCATGCCTTTGGGTAGAATGCAGACTGTCCCATTTTGCAGTAACAGAAAGATCTGTTCATGTGTTTCTCAGCAGAAGTGAGAAGTTCCGAAATCCTGAGGGAACCAATTACTTAAGTCAGGCAGAGAAGTTAAGAACAGAACTCGGTAATTGATGAGGCCTGAAAACTACCAAAAACTGCTCGAGCAACTCATGTAGGGGAACAACCCAATTCTAAAGGGATTAATTACAACATGCAGGAGTAACAGAGTTTGCCATGAATGAGGAACACAAGTGCTCATTTTCCAACTCACAGCATACAGGTGTTTAATCAAAAATACAAACTAATGACTACCTGCACTCAAGAAACCTTGAATTAATTGATTAAGAAGGCTACAAAATTGTACTACCCTTAATTTGTAAATGAAAGATTCATTGGTAACAGCACACCACAAACACAGATTTATCAAATAGTTCATAACGAATGTGATGCATTTGGACCTTACCCAAAGCAGGGCTGATGCTGTTTTTAATTTTTGTTGTTTTAATTTTGCAGGGGTTGAAGTTGAACCACCCATGCTCAAAAGTATCTTTGAAAACTACAAGAGAAGTGGGTGGCATTCAGAAAGGAAATCTTGTTTTCAYCACATTAAAGGAACTGGTTTGCCGATCCCACAGGGTAAATTTGTACTCTTCAAATACATCAGGGACTCTGGAGCAAGGGGGAAGTCACCACCACTTGAAAGTCACACCTGAAAAGAGGAATGTGGCATTCGGGAGTTGTTCTGTTACAAGCAGCATGTTACCACTCCCACGTACTTCTGCTGAGGGAGTTGGATGAGAAATTGGCATTCATACCAAACAGCAAGAACATGGAATTTTATGAAACTGTTCAGTTTGCAGATTGTGATGGTTCAGTGAAATGCACTGTGCTGCAGCAGGAGGATGAGTGGAGGAAAAAAGCAAACCAGARAAGTTCACCAGGAAAGCAGCTCACAGCCTTTCACAGAAGTGACCATCTCAGCACAAGGCCAGTGCTTTCCACACCCCTTGCCTTCACACAGCAGCATGGTCACAAAAAAAAGCAGCTGTGAAAATGAGTTTCCACTGGTGCTGTCAACAAATGACTAAAATATAATATTCTCATTAGTTTCAGTATCATGAGAGCATTCATGGCTCCTGCACTATCTTTGATTAGAGGCCCCAAGCCCAGCATGGCTCTGTGCCAACACCACCAACAGCCATCAGTTCCTTCCAAACACCTCCAAATCTGCAGCAGCCTTCGTTTGGGTAACTATAAAATATTACCAATACTTTTTTTCTGGTCCAAGCTGCATACCAGTTGTCCACCTACCTCATCCCCTAAGCCTGAAACCTCATGAAACCTTTAGGGCAGTGCCCAAGCCCCTGCTCAGARCTGATGCTGCAGAGACCTGGGAACAGCTGAGGGTGGAAATAAAAAAGTAAAAAAAAAATCCTCACTGAAGTTACAAATTCTGCAGTGTGGATTATGGAGACAGGATACCCACTGCTACAAAATCTCCAAAGTCATCATTCTGAGCAATAAAAAAAAGCTCAGCCCAGTCCCAGTTTTGAAATGTGATTTTCTCTACCCTTTTCATACACAACAATAAAAGTGTTTAATGACAACACACTGCAATTTGAAGGGGGTTCTCAGTACACACCAGMTGTCAAAAGCCCTTCAGGAATTTCACAAAACACACAGCCCACAGCGTTTAAGATTTTATTTAGAGACATCCAGCATGGGTTGCAGCTATCATTTCCCCATTAAACGATGCTGTGTAGAGGACTTCAACTCTGCAAGAAAAACAAAACAAATTTAAGAACCCTGTAATAAACATATATTTTACTTAAAATTTTTGATGGGCTTTGCTTTATCATGTGCCTGGTTTTGCATCAGAAGCCTTGACCTGCATGAAACCACACAGTTCCATATGCTCAAGATCAGTACAAGTCTGCAGATTTTGGTTTTCTCCTCAATCTAGRGCAGAAAAAACCACCAAACTGGTAAACAAAATACAAAATTAGTTCCAATCAGGAGATTATTCCAATCATGATTATTATTTCCTTTCAAAGACTACCTGGGTCACTCAAGCTCCTAAAAAACATTTAGTTTCTCAGATTACAGACAACACCAGGTATTTCCAAACTGGAATCAGTTTAAGACAAACTAAAGTGGGCTTTTAAATGGAAGTGGCATGCTTGCACAGTCTGAGTCATCTCTGAGGCTKGCTTCATTAGGATCCTCAGCAAGCACCAATTAATTTCTGTTAATCACCTTATCTCAAGTGGACAGTAGGCCATAAATCATCAGGAATGATGTAGATGGTGAGACTGTTTTTATAAAGGATAAACCCAAGAAAACTTTATTTTCCCCTCAGCTTTATCTGGCACATCAGAAAGCGTTTACAGCATCACAGTTTCTCATCCTGTTTCATCACATCACACGTGCCAGATCACACCAGGTGCAGGTTTTTACTTCCCCAGGGGAGAAAGCAGASATGGTTTTGGTTGCAGTCAGAGGGGTGTGGCCTCTGGGGAGGCAAAGGTCACAAATCACTCTGTGACACAAACCTCAGCCTGCTCACTGTTTCAGTTATTATTATGCAACCTGAACTGCAGAAGGCTGAGAATTATGAAGGTTTTTGATGGAAATTCCACTGTTCTATAAAATCCTACAAAAGCAGTTACCCAGCTAGCACAGCCACAGCTTATCCTCTTCATTTCTTCAGGAGCTGGTGTCTGACAATGAAGAAAGGGGCACCAAACCCACTCCCAAAGAAYCCACACATCAGCACGAGCAGCCGCCACTTGTTGTCCACAGAGAACGGGAGATTCTAGAGGGAAAAAAAAAAAAAAAGGAGTTTAACCTTTGCAATCAATGCATTCATTCCTTTCTCGTCCACTTAAAACTGCTGTGAATCTTAGAACAAAACAAATATGCTTTTTCAAAGCAATTCTGATACCTCTCAAGGATAGAAACACGGATATTTTGGATAATAAATAATTTTCCAGTATCTGAAGGGCACCTACAGAGAAGATGGAGAGGGACAGGACAAGGGGGGAATAAATTTAAACTAAAAAAGAGGAGGTTTTTGGCTTGATATTAGAAAGAAATTGTTTCCTGTGAGGATAGGGAGGCCCTGGCACAGGGTGCTCAGAGAAGCTGTGGCTGTTCCTGGATCCCTGGAAGTGTCCAAAGCCAGGTTGGACATTGGGGCTTGGAACTACCTGRTCCAGCAAAAAGTGCTCCTGCCCATGACAAGGGATGGAATAAAATGATCTTTCAGGTCCTTTCCAACCCAAACACTCCATGAAAACAGCTCAAGATGATAAAGATGATAAATGACCTCTGGAGGTCATTTTTGTCCCCACTTCCTCCAGWCCAAGGTGAGGCCAATTTGCTGCAGGTCTCATGCAATCAAAAATAAAATTTCCCCTGAGGAAACACAGCCACAGCCTCCCCAGTGTTCTAGTATTTAATTGTCTTCACTGAGAATACTTTTCTCATATCAATTAGGCATATAAAATGAAGCTTTTAGACCGAAGGCTTGAGAAAACACGCCAGGTACATCAGAAAGCGTTTACAGTATCATTGTTACCCCTCATACCGCAATGCTCATCATCTGTACCACCGCAGAGAAAGGCGCTGGGGTCCATCACCACACGATGAGGGTCCGGGCTCCACCGGCATCACCGCAAAGCCCACACAACACCGGGCACACGGCAGCCATCACCCCCCACCCCGCCATCCCCCTCCCCGCGACCTTCAGCGGGCCAGGACGCTCCTGCCCACCTTGCCGGGTCCCTCCTCATAGTGGCTGCGGCGGATCGCAGAGGTAGTGAAGCGGCGGACGCTGGCGGACAGCATGATRAGGACAGGAGACGGCGAACACTCGTCCGCCCTGCGCGACCTTCCCGAGAACGGAGCGGCTGAGGGGAAAGCGGAACCGGAAGCGAGGAGGAGGGAACCCCGGTGCACGACGGGAGTTGTAGTTCCGAGCGGTCACGTGGTACCGAACGGCGGCCTGTGGTTGGTCGAGCCCCGCGCGCGCGCTCGCCGCGGGGGTGGCCTGATCCCGCGCGTCCCCGCCGCCATTTTGCGATGGCTGAGGGGCGGAGGGGAAATGGCGGGAACGAGTCTGGAATATGTGATAAAATGGTCTATATCAAAGTCATAAGRTGCTTATGAGGCCTATTCATTGAAAACTTTCTATTTTATACATTACCAATAGAACAATGTAATAACTTTTTATATATTATTAAAATACAATGTAATCGCTTTTAATATATGATCAATGATAGCTTATATATATATTGCTATAAGCTTTTTAATAGTGTATTAGCAACATATAGTGTACCAGCTGCACGTAATCTAACCAGCTGGATTAGTACATAGATAGGTGAAATCACCAAGAGGCATAAATCAGAAAAAGTTCTGAAAAAAGTAGGCAGGTAGGTGCTATAACAAGGAACAGTAATGAGAACTTGGCAGAAGCATGGGACAATGAGAAAAATAATTGGAAATTACGACTTGGAGGACTAGAAAAAAACCCATGAATGTCACAACTGTGCATGCCCTGAAGACAAAAGTGAAAACTCCACCGTGATGAAGAGGATGGTATCTCATTAGAGGGAGACCTCTGCAACCAACAAATTGAGGATGACACATATGTACTTGTAAAACTGTTATATCATGTATTTTTATGTTCAAACTGTGATATCGTGTATTTCCGTGCCCATGTATAGTGATGGGTGTATGGTGTGTGAATGGGGGGCAGTGACAATGGTAATGTTACGCCATGCTTATAATATAAATATGTGCTAATTTAAAACAAAAGCAAGTGGGTTAGGAGCAGAAATCCCCCTCACCTCCAGTGCTGCAATAAAGAAATACCTACTCTATAGACAGCGGTCTATGGAGTTTTATTTCCAAGCCTTTTTTTTGGGCATCAGGTATTGAGGCTTAGCTATGTCATGCAAACTGCACGGGGTGATTTTTAATGTAGAATTCATGGATCCTGCTAAATGAACGAAAAATATGGTAACCACATGGTTTGTGTTGGTAAAGCCCTTAAATCTCATGCAGTTCTGGACTTCCCACCCTCCACGGGCAAGAACACTTTCCACTAAAATTGTTTAGTGTTTCCACTAAACCAGRTTGTTCCAGGCYTGGCCTTGAACACTTYCAGGATRGGGGCAGCCACCCTGTGTGGCATTTTKAAACAAACTTTGGCAATGTGAAAGGGAGRAAACCCCCTGAGCACCCTTTACATKTGTCASAGTAATAACAAAGTTGTTGCCAGAATTAGTGGTCTCTATTTTTTGTTCCACATGGAGTACTTTAAAGACAAACTCTGGTTTTTTTTTTTAATATTTACAGGAAAAGGAGTTTGGTACTGCCATCTCAGTATTGCAAGGAGTAAATTTATTTTCATAGCCTTTCTGCATATTTCCGTGATGTCTGTCAAAAGATAGAAAACCAGGATTTTTATGTTTACAATTGAATATTTGTAATTAGCAATACATTGTAAAATACAATAATTATAAAAAGTAATAAGTTGGTAAAGACAGGTTGAAATGAGTTTGAGAAGTGAGCCTTAATTCCATATAKTTGGTGGACCTTGACCATTAATAGGTGATATAGAACTTTAGGACACATTTTATCATTGTTAGTGGAAATAGTTGTGATTTCTTTGGGTGGTTATTTTTCAGAATTTTTTTTCCCTTTGTTTAGATAGACTTTTGTTTTTGTCAAGAGATTGCAATCCTTTCTCAAGCGTTTCCTAAGTGGTATTAATAGTACAGTAGTACTCTTCAATCTGCTTTATCATCTTAATAACAAATTCTCATTTTTAATGTAGATCTTCTCTTCCTGTAGCAGATTTTAYGCTGTTGCTGCAGAGGAGATGCTGAGCAGGGACATAAAGATTCCTGTTACAGAGTTTCATTAGCAATAGCATTTTAATCCGTGATGCTCTGCAGACGTTTTCTCTGTAGACAGAAGCAAAAATCTCTAGCTAAATATTTTAGAGGGTGGTAGATCTCTGGAGTTGTTTTACAGCTGAAAAAATATATCTAACACTCATATCTGTTCTCTTTCAAAGCATGAACTAAGTGCTCACCATGGAGCTGTGGAGGAGTTTAGAGTAACAGACTCGGATGGTATTGATTGGAATTTTGGCAAAGGAATGAAAGATAGTATCTTCCAAAGTGTTAGAAATATGGTCTACAATAATTATAATGAAGAGAATCAGGTAGCCAGGCCAGATGCTAAGTGCTGCACTGTATGCCTTTATATAAAAGCTGTTGTAAATCCACACAAATTGTGGGAATTATAGAATTAATTACTGGGTGAAACTCCCTGACCTTTTTCATGTGTGGGGTCACAGGACGGGTGATTATAATGGTACCTTCCATCTTTTAAATCTGTGAAACTTTGAATCTATGCTTTTATTGACATACATCTTTTTGTATCTGACATTTTTTTCTTCCTTTAAAAAACTTGTTACTTTTTGCCAGGTTGTCTTTTTCATCTTCAATAATACATTGCATTGTGCTGCTATGAATATGACTTGGTGATGAATTTCTCCAGGTACTGCTTTCTTATTAATTTTTCCCCATAAAGAATGTTTCTGTTCTCGAAACATTTTTTTTTTTAAATAGAGGCCAAAAATACAAATAAAGAAAAACATAGGTAGCCAAAGAAAATAGTGCACAGGATCTGTCTTTTGTGATCTTGATGGAAGAAAGAAGCATAAGAAGTTTAGTGTATGTTTTACAAAATATACAAGGCCATACTTCGGGGCTCAAAATTGCCAATCATTGAGATGAAGTGAGAGAACCAAGATAAAAATCTTACTGACTTTCTAAATCCTCTTTTTTGAATGAAGTAAACAGCTGTTTTTAGATGCTGAAAATATGTATAATCAAGTTCAGATGTGTGCACTTCACGAAAGCTTTTTAACAGCGTAAATTCTGTAAATTATTTTGCTGGTGTCATGGACAGAGGGCTCAGGAGACAAAACAACCATCATAGRTGACACAAAAACATTGTTTTCTGCAGAAATTATCCTCCATTTTTGTTGACCTGATAAATTACTTTGTTTAGCACTCAGCTTAGGAATTAACCTCTCTTCAGTCATGAGGTCAGGTGTTAACCATGAGGGTAAGCACTTGTTAAATGTTAAGTAATGAAAGGGAAAGGCTGAGTAGAAGCTGGGAGAGGCATTGTAGAATAGATGTTAATTACATGGTTTTTAGCATAACTGTGGTTAATGAAAATATCTCATAATGTCGGTCTAATTTCACAATTGTAGAAGTCTTTCATAAGAGTAATTAACTTTCCTCACATATGGCAAATGCTTTTTTTCCCCACAAAGTAGGTATTCTTAAATATAAAATACGTTAGAAGTATAAAATAAACAATTATTAATAATGTGGTGGTCTTCAGCTGCAAAAAGAGGTGTTGGTATGTGAAACATTTGTATTCAGCACAATGAAAAGCTGAAAACCTTGAAATGTAATGCAGATAACGTTAGTTTAAAAGAGTTATTACTCGGAGAAAATACTTACCTTGATTTCAGAGAGCCCACATAAGTCTCAGGAAAGTGGAGCAGTAAAAGGAATTGTCCTTTGGAGKCAGTCACAGAGTTGCTGCAGACATCAGCAATAGGATGCCCATGGGAGGAGGCTGTTAGGAGAAGTGGCATCTTTTATTCTTCCATTATAGTTCTTAAAACCAGCCAAGCTTCCAAATGTGCAAGCCTTCTTTAACGTGTGAAACTGAGTTACTGTCAAATGTAAATATGCATTGAATATAATTTTTTTCARGGTGCAGTTCAAAGAACACTTTCCTCTCCTAGCTGTTCTTTGGAGTGTATAATTTCACAGATCCAGTTCAGGGTGTAGTGGCACACMGACTTAACACTTAACCCACAGGAAGGTGTGAAGCGGTTGTAGCATTAGAAAGGTGGAAATGGATGCATAGAATWAGTGCTTTTCTTGGCAGCAACATCGGTTTATATTGGCAAAAAGAGCTTGTCCAACTACAGCTTTACTGCTGAATATATATATATATATATTCTTTGGTATTAAGGCATGAAAAAATTGTTACGTGAAACAATTCCTTCCCAAGCCCCAGACTGCTAATGCCTAATGCATTTATTTATTGTATTTCCCAGGATCATCCTTGAATATATTCAAGATGAGATATTCATGGTAGGTATTAAAATATTGCACATTTAAGACAATTCCAGCATATGTTATAAACAGGAGGATAAAATAATTGGAAGTTTCTATTTGTACTGTAATATCTATGTATAAAGATCTTCCTGACAATCTGCTGTTTTTATTTTATCAACCACCATTGCACAAATGTGACTTACCTTGTCTTTCAGGCTCTATAATCAACAGTTTTAGCCTTTTATGTAAGAGTTAACATATGCAGCTCAATTTACTCTTCTCAGCCTGAAACMCATGATTTTTGCACCTGTTTGAAATCCGAAAGTGGGCCTGTGCAATTAGGGTTGGCCTGTTAGCTCTGCTTTTATAATTTGGTTTGCTATTAGGATCGTAGGAGGAAGTAACACAATACCTGTGTAATTTATACTTTCAAGCCATCATGAATATAAAAGTGCTGTAGAATCTTCTTTTCTGCATTTCTGTTTGCTAGTGTCATTTTGTTGTGAAAAACACAGGTAATATGAAAATGTGAGCACAAATTTATAGATTGAATGTTACTCATSAAAGCAGCTTAGCTGGATGTGCATAGGGACAAAATTACAATTTTGGCAATGTACCTAGATAAATATATTTTCAAATTATGTGAGATAGTTCAAAAATTGCCCCTTCATGTAAATGATTCCTTATGGATGCAGAGCCTCATTTTTATGTMCTATCTGTATTTCAACAGCTGAAATAAGTGTCTAACAATAATATTTTACCCTGAAAAAAATTAATTTTTTCATTA